TGGGAAACAGTGAAGCCCTTAATGAAGTTACTACCACTGATGGGACTGTTACCGATGATGAGACATTTACTGATGAAGCGGATGAACCCCACATGAAGCAGAAGCCAATGAGACGGAGATCAGTACGGAAGAAGATACGTCCAGTAAAATTAAGAGACTTTGTTGAATTGTAATTTTGTCTTTGTAATTCTGTACAGTTAATTAAGTTATTGTTAATTGTTATTGGTTTATTGTATGTGGTTATTGTTCGGGACGAACAATACTAAGGAGGGGGCAGTGTTGCGTCATCGAGGTCACGTGACTGGTTTGGCGCCCTCTACTTTCTAGAACTATCCTGTACTTTGGCGAATGCTCTAGTATTTACTAAATAGAGGGTAGACTGGTATGTAAAAGAGGGTGACAATGTGACGGGAACGGGGAATGTAATGTGTGTCTAGACAGTGAGTAATTGATCTGCAGTCAGAAGTATTATTGAGCACGTTCGTTGTTATAGCGTTTGTTTAGCGCGATTGTTGAAGTTGAGTGTATCGGTAAAGTTGTATTCGTAAAGAATAAACCAGTTTTATTAAGTAAAGAACTTGTGTCGCTTAAGTTTCGTCGGAACGAAGTTACGGAAAATCAATTAACAAACGGAGACGTAACAATATATTGTTATAATTTGTAATTTATATTGATGAGTTTGTAGCGGACTAAAAGGAAACGCCGCTACAACAAGGGTCAAGCGAAAATGATTTCTTAATTACAACCTAATCACTTACACAAAAAAGTTAGAAAACCTGTGCTTGTCAACGACTTGGTAAAAATGTTAATAAACAATACACTGTTACGTCTCCGTTTGTTAAGTGATTTTCCGTAACTTCGTTCCGACGAAAATTTAGCGACACAAGTCCTTTCTTAATAAAACTGGTTTATTCTTTCTGAATATAACTTTACCGATTCACTTATTTTCAACATTCGCGCTAAAACAAACGCTATAATGAACGTTAACTTCAACAATACTTTCTCACTGCAGATCAATTATTTACTGTCTACACACACATTATTGTCACGTCACGCCGTGACCATTTTATATATACCTGCCACCCCCAATCTAGTAAATGCTAGAGCACTCCCGAAGGAACGGGATAGTTCTAGAAAGCAGGTGGCGTGACAATAGTCACGTGATATCGCTGACGCAACAACACCATGACTTTCAATTAATAAAAAAGAACTGGGGGAAACAACAGAAAAATATAAAACACGATATTCCAAAATTAAATCACTTCTCAAGAGCAATAATTTCGAACAATAATTATTTCTAACTATATCCGATAAACTAATTCGTTTTAAGATTAATTTAGTTTTTATTATGTGGGTCGGGGGAGTGCAGGGGGATAGACAACGAGTTCGCATCTCATGTGACTAGATATTATCATAAATCTACATAATCTTTCACAATATTAATATCTGTACACAACCGCTAGAGAAAGCTGCTTTCAGTTTCCTAATACCTACATATTTAATCAAAATGAACGCGCTGTATGCGGGAGGTGAGTAAGTGCTTTAATATAACTAAAAATTAATAGTTAAAGTAAACGATAGAAGGAATAATGAAAAAAAAAACATAAAGAAAATCATAATAAAATAAAAGTAGAATTCGCCATCCTGCCTTTCTTTCTTTTTTTTTTTTGTACAATTCGTCTGGCAGAAATTCTTAATTGTTCAAGTATATTTAATAACTACAAAACTTGTACTTATACTGTTGTAGTACTATTACTATTGCTCAGTATTAGTACATAACATACAAGTTAACAGATTAATTAATAACAATTGGCTTGGGAAGCAGTGGACCGTTACAATTAAGTTCAACGTTGTGTTTAAACTTTATACCCATTCTTTAGAAAAAATAAATATTGAAGCTTAACTTTATTTTTCAGGAAATAATTTATTCACTGGTTATACTTTTTTAAAATTGCTTACAAATACTGCCTTTTAGAGCTGGTTATTCAATAAGCCAATCACATAGAAATAATAAAACTGTTTTAATCTGATTATAGTCAGCCGTTTATAAATCTTCTGAAGTTCTGTTTCTTTGGTCCCTCATCTTTTCGTTTTACTTTTAAAAGTAAGCAAGAAAAAAAAAGGACATTTATCTATTAATCACACTGAAAATCTGTTTTAACATCTGTAACTTGCAAGATCACCTTTTCCACTTTTTTTTATCTCAAGAGAAAAATTTCAACATCAGTTAAATCTTTTATCCTGGGATTCATTCTATTATCCCCCTTCAAATATATAAGTAAACAGTATAGTACTATAAATTACATCAGTTGTGTGTATATAAAATCACCACTATATAAAAATGTATAGTAATGCAGGATTTTCGCATAGTGAAAACATGCTAAATATCCAATAAAATGTTAAATATTATTAATGATTTTGCAAATCATATTTTATCATCCTTTCAAAACCTTTTCCTATAACAACTGAGACAACTTTTATCACTTCCCTTATAAAGCAGAATAACATTGGTCAGTTATATCATTCAGATAATGTGAAGCAAGGTTAATCCTTTCAACCCACAATATATTTCACTGTAACATCCTCTCAAGCAGAATAGACAAATAATAATAAAGATATTTTAAAATTCTCTATATCACTAAAGCAGGTAGATAGCACATGATACCTCTACATATCACAATACCCTTAAATTGATGGGAACCTACTATATCTACAGTAATGGATCTTAATATAGTACAGGATAAGTTAATCAAGCCATTACTACTTACATCTCACCTCTAATACAGTGTAACGTTTTTGTCTCCTTATCTAAGAAAGAATGTCAATTTATTGGAAAATGTTAAGTTTTTGTCTATAATTTATAAATTTGTATATGTGTGGTGTGTATATAATTAAAACATTTAATAATGTTTATATTATTGTTTACTTGCCCTAACTGTCTTGTAATGTGAAACACAACATAGTTGTTATACACATAATTGTATTTCATCATTAAAACGTTTAAGAATGTTTATATTATTGTTTACTTACATTATCTGCATCAGTAGTGTTTAACAAAACAGTTATCAAACATATAATGCTTCTATTCATCAGTAAATCTCTAAGTTTATATAGTATAAAGATTTGGAGTTGAGTATTACAGTGTTGTCTTTATCAGTGTAATTTTTTATATGAGGTTTATATACTCAATGGGGTAAAAACCTACTCCCCAGTTATGTTTAAACTACATAACGTTTGGTAAAGATTTTCATGGTTCCTTACTAGACAATTGGGTTTTAAAAACTTAATGTCAGATAAAGACGACTTGTAACTTTAAGTCTAAAGACATCAAGAAGCTAATTAATTTATTTAAAAGCTATCAAGATAATGTGAATTTTAAGGTTGGTATTTGATTAAAAATTTGTAATATTTTTACAGGATACATGTTCTAATTTTTAACCTGTTTCTTTGTAGTCTAACTGCAGGTTTTGATAAAGATATAAAGGTGAAGCTGTGATATAACCATGGGTGTATCAAAGATGAAAGTTGAACCATTTTTAGAAAATGAACAGGATGATTTTTTGGATATCAAATTGATGAAAAATGAAGATGAAACTCCTATATTATCTAGTAGTAAGTATATATATTTAGAATATAAATATTTTGTGTTCTGTCCAACACAAGTAGTGTAAATGTCACCTGTTTAACAGTGTACATGAATTTTGTGTTACTGATTATTAGATATTTCTTATTGAGTTATTTTCCTCTGTCAGGTATGTACATCAGTAAAATTAGGTTATATTTTGTTGCTTATTTTGGTCTTTCATGCAAGTAAACTAAAACCAGTGACATTAGTGTGATTATAACCTATACCATCACCTGTAGATGATGTTAAACCTGAGACCTTTAAAATGTCAAGCTTGTGCTCTACTAACTGAACTAATTCCTTAACCTATTGTTTACTGTTAGTAAAGCAATTTATATCAATGTAAAACACACTTATTTCATCCGACACTATAAATTAATAATATTTTCATTAAATCTGATAATAATAATAACAACAACACATACATACTGTTACGACAGCGGAAGTCAGGTGATGCTGGGAGCATGCATGCTGGAGTTTCAAGAAGGATCATAACTTAGCGGGCAACCAAGAAAGCCCAATGCTTGTGGAAGCAGTGGAAGACCTATCCAGGCCAGCGGATGTGAAGATTGGAAGGTCACTGGTGGCAGGTCATCAAGTAGTACCCATAACAGTGGCCAATTTCTCTAAATGTGAGCAGACACATAAGGAAGGGGCATTGTTGGGAGTGTGCTATGAGGTACAGTCAGTCATTGCTAAAGCAAGAAATACAACTGTAAAGAAAGGATATACACTTCCAGAACATTTAATTGACCTCTATAAGAAGAGCATAGTTCATTTGGCATCATCACAGGCTCTTCAGGTAAAAGAACTTTTGGCAAATTATGCAGACGTCTTTTCGAAATAAGATCATGACCTCGGCTGCACAGACCTTGTAGAACACAGAATAAACACAGGCAATCACCGTCCAATAAAGATCCCTCCGAGGAGAAAAGCTCCAGCAAAGTGACAGGAGATGGAGAAGGTCATGGATGGCCTAATTAAGGAAGGGATAGTTCAAAAATCAAATAGTCTTTGGTCAGTTCCATCGTGTTGGTCCAGAAGAAAGATGGGACCCAACGTTGCTGTGTGGACTTAGGGGCTCTTAACAGTGTAACCGAAAAAGACTCGTACCCATTGCAAAAATTGATGATACTCTTGATGCCCTATGTGGAGCCAGGTGGTTTTCATCTCTAGACTTAAAGTTGGATTTCCATGAAGTGAAAATGGCTGAAGGAGATAAACTTAAGACTGAATTTAGTTGTGGGCAAGGCTTCTGGCAATATCGTGTGATACCAATCGGGCTTAGCAATGCTCCAGCAACATTTGAAAGGCTGATGGAAATAGTACTGGAAGGTCTACAATGGAGGATAGCCCCAGGTGTGCCTGGATGGTGTCATTGTATTTCCAACAGCTTTTGATGAGGAAATGTCTGGCTAGAGGAAGTATTCAAGCATTTGAAAGCAGCAAACCTCAAACTCCATCCCAAGAAATGCCAGAAAGAGTTGCTTTACTTGGGTCACATTGTTAGTGAGAATGGTGTACAAACTGATCCTGATAAGGTGAAAGCAGTGCGTGACTGGCCAACACCAGACAATGTGGGAGAGTTAAGAAGTTTCTTGGGACTCTGTACTTACTACCGCAAATTTGTGAAGGACTTTGCAACTATAGCTACATCACTACATGATTTGACGAAAAAAGGCCAAAAGTTCAAATGGACAGTTTCTTGCCAGCATTCTTTCATGACGTTGAAGGAAAAATTGGCCCCTGCTTCACTTTTAAACCTTCCAGATCCCTCACTGCCGTACATACT